TCCTTTGGATTCCCTGGGCCTCAATTCGAATCGCGCTCAAGCGCCACCCGGACTCAAGCCGGTTACGGCTCCGCCGTCGGACGCCGCAGAAGCGCCCCGGCTGCCGCAGAACGGAAGCTCCTGCCGGTATTCCGCTATCCGCCGGAAGCGGAAATTCAACCTCCTTTCCTCAGAGATAAGAAAGGGAAGAACAAAGCATTGCGTGAAGGGTCAAGAGCGGTACCGAAGAACGGCGCCTCTCCACCTTAGGTCCCCCGGACTCTATGTCAGCCGTTGCCCCTCCACGGAGGAAACCGGGCGTTTTCTTTTCAATCTGCGCCAATCAGGGCCCCTGACGGCTGAAACAGGCACTTCCGGTTTTGAGCGGAAGTTAAGACTGTGGGCCAATCTAACTTTTTCTCTAGGTACCCGTCCGGCCTCCTTGGCAACTCCGCCGTTTTCTCCTCACTCTTTTCCTATCCCGCTTTCCTCAGTCGAAGCTGCTTCTACTCGAGTTTCCGTCCTAAGACTGCACAGGTTTGACTCTTCCGACTTCCCTAAGCCGTCGGGCTCTTGCCTGGAAAGCGGGCCCCCGTTGCCAAGAGCCGATGGGGCGGGGCTGCTGGTGAATATATTAGCATGCGTAATGAGGACACCCGATTTTGGTTTCTGTGGGAGAAACACGAATTCCTCTGGGCGCAGAGGAGAGGGATGGAGGACCGTTGCTTGTGTTTTTAAATCCGAATTTAGAAATTTAAGGTGGGGCAGTTAAGAGCGGGTTCATCATAACCTGAAAGCCGGCGGCATGGCTTTGCTACTGCGGCTTCCGGCAAGCTTTTCGATCCTTCAGGTTCTTTCATGTGATGAGTGGGGTGTTCACGCGCATGCGTGAGATGTGCCGTCCCAGCTGTTACGACGGGGCACAGAACCCATCTGATCAGAACCGAGGGAGCTCTTCTGCGTTTGATATTCATTTCGCTCGTGGGTGTGTAAGCTTGCTATGGTTGCTTTTTGCTTGTGAATTAGTTCACATTCAGTTGCTGTGGGTTTCCTGGGCTTTATTCCAGGCATAATGGGTGCAGTAGGACCCAGGAGTGCCAAGCTGCCGCCCACAGAAATGTGGCTTGCCCTACAAATGACTTGGTATCTTTATATGATTTATTTGTATTTGTTTATATGAACCATTTGAAACAAAACAAAAAATAGCAACAAAAACTTATGGGGGAGACAGATGTTCCTGTGTTTCCAAGCGGCAGGTGATAAAAGAAAAGCATTTACATTTAAGGAGAACATGCCATGACGACGTGCTCTCTACATTGGACATTCTAGCAATCAGAAGCGGAGAGCTGATATTTGGCCAGGGGCTATTGATCAATCAAACCTACCTGAGAAGGGGCAGGGAGGATAATATGGGAGAATAATTTTTGCCCGAATTCATGGCTCTGCACAGAACATTGAGTATAAATATAACATCTGATTATGTTGAAAAGCAATTCCATTGTCTCAATACACAGAAAAATGTAGTTCAGGATATATGGCTTCTGGTTCTGCTCCTGTGATCTTGAGTATATATTTATATTGTGTTGTCATCTGGTTGCAAATGATAGTAAGTAATTATGCATGTCTGAATTAAACATGACCACTGTTTCAGGATCTGGTGCTTTGCACAACAGGAAACAAAGTGTTTCCAACACACAGCAGGCACCCACCCAAAGGGGAGCAGGTTAATGTATGTGTCTCTCTTTACATGTGCCTGAAAATACTTTTGTTCTACTCAGTTGGCAATCAGAATTTCTGTCTCCATGTTCCATTTAAAGACAACTCTGTTTTGGCTCAGTCACATCCAGTCTTCACCAAACTAGGCATGCTTCCTGAGGTGACCAGAGGCTTCATGTTTCTGTGTTTCATGTTCATATGATCTTTTAGTTTTTTAATATTACAGTGTAATAAAATGTCTAGATTAAACCAGAACTGACCACTACACTTTAAAGTTTAATACAGTATTATGCAGACTTTTTTATGAAGAAGGTTCAGATGGACAGCCCCAAGTTCAGATGAAACAACCTCTCTAGAGCATCTAGATCTGTGACTTGTAGTCCTGCATTTTCTATTCTCCCTTCCCCCTTTATACATATAATCCAATATATGCCTACCCTGATGTCTTGATTTCTTTTGCTTCACCCACTTCTGTTTCCTAAAAAGATATTGTTCTTGGAATTGCATGATCCACACCCTTTCTATCACTAGATGTATTCTCATAGTACATCTTTTCCATAAAGTTTTATGGAAAAGATGGACTATAAGAATAAAGTTTTAGTGTCCAAGTACTCATGCCCTAAATTCTGTTACCAAGCCTATAAGAGATTTTTTCTCTGTCTTCATTTCTTGTTTTGTTCTTTCCTGGATCAAATTTTAGATTGTAGTCATCTTAGGGTATGATTGATCAGCACTTAACTCACCTTCACGGATGCTGAAGGGGCTAGTACTTTGATGGGAAATCCCCAAAAAATTCCAGGCAGCAGCAATGGCCAACCACTTTTGCATTGCTGACAAGAAAAATGCATGCTTATTTCTTTAAATTTATATCCTGCCTGACTCCTGTGATTCTGAGCAGTTGTGCCATGTAGTCACCAGATGTTGAAGTCAACTAGAGAAAAACAGCTGTGTTTGCACAATATAGTTGTGATTAACATGGCCTTGGTTTAGTCCGTTAACCCAATTTTCTGGGTTTGCACATTACATTAAACTAAAAAAATCCAATGTAGGTTGAATTTGCAAAATATCCTAGGCTAAAATGTATTTAGTTTGTCACCGTGTTAGGCAAATACAGTCTGAATAGTAGGAGATTTTCAGAATTTCAGGAAGGGAAATTTGGGACCTGAGCTGCAATTCTGCTTTCAGTGGTGGGTGGGTATTAAAGTTCTGTGCACAGGTACCTTCTCACCCCCCTATGCTCCAGAGTATCTTCTTGGTATCACATCTGAAGCTGTGCATAGCCCTAGTAGGTGCATTCATGGGTATGGGGAATGGTAACACAGTGCCTTTACCCTTTAATCCTACATGTTGCCTTTCAATCTTTATTACTGTTAAGTGATTACTCATGTTGCAAACGTATAGTAAAAGGGAAAAAAATCCAGTTTCAGAGAAAGTACTTTTATTTTTCTATACAAGGACAGAATAGGCAAAAAAAGTTACAAGGCCACTTATGAAAATAGTCCCACTTATCTTCTGAAATCTAAAAGAAGGGTTCAGTCCTCTCCCTTTTCATGCCTCTACCTTCGTCACTTAGCCACCTATATGGAGTGCCAAATGCCACAGTGTGGCTCCCTTTCTCCATAATATTGGAGAAGATTGGCTCTTTGCTGCTTTGCTGGGTCAACTGTGTTAGCTGAATAGTGCCTCTTCTACAGCCCGTGGAAGGCTTTCTGCTTAAGTCTTATGTAAACACTGTAGATTTTGCAGAGAAGGATCTAGCAGAAGTCAGCAATAGCTCTTGCTTTTAAATTGCAAAAGGGATCCCTAAGGAGCACGAATCAAGACAGCCCAAATGGCGGGGGCTGACTTACTATAAAAAGAAAGGTCTCATTAGAAATTGGAGATGCTATCGCCATCTGTGGATTCGGACCAGCAATTCCTAGACAAAGGGAAGACTTTGACCTCACAGTTGGCATCACAACAACCAGTTGCAGAAACCTGGCACTGGAGTTCTATTGTTCACCCAGGTCATCCTGGGAAAGTTCAGACTTCATGTTTCAAGTCCATCATGTGTTAGCCATCCGAAATCTAGATTACCATGCAGTTCTGATCAGTCTTCCCCAGAAATGGCTCCCAGATTGTAGATGGAGAACAAGGCCAGCTTGTCTTCCATCTTGGCACTAGGTATGGTCCCCGCTGCCTTCTAAGAAGGTTAAGATGAGCATCCACTTGGAAATACCTCAGTCTGTGACCGCGTGTTGAAGCCCACAATCCCAAGGCAATAATCTGTGTCAATAAAGGCTTTGGGGGAAATGTTGTGGGCAGGAAGATGGTCACACTAGTTCGTCTAGGAGGATTCCAATGCTCTGGTGAGGCTCTGCGGGACCTGCTATAGGCTTATTGCACATGGGACAGACACATCGAACTTCCAGCCACTTCACAAGGCACCTGCAGCCAAAATGGGGGTTGGGGGTGTAAAGAGATGGGGAAGTATCCTTTGAAAATACAGATCCAAAAGCTTCATTATGACTCTCTGAGAAGACCCTATAGTAGCATCCCCTTTCTGATCAGCATCCCTTCCCAAGTCTACCCTTATCTGGGCCAAATGACATTGGGCCAGTTCTTACTGAAGTGCTCATGTGCATCTTGGTGAATACATTAACGTACTTTATTTTGTTTGAATCACTAAATTATGAGAGTGATTTTAATTATGCTTTTTTTTTTTTAAAAAAAAACCCTTTACAGCAGCCTTGCTCAATTTGCTGTTCTCAAATGTGTTGAATTACAATTCCCTAAGCGTTTAGATGGCAGCAAGTATTGGAAGCTGATTTACAGATTAGATTTTATCCAGTATCAGTAAATGGCTGTACACAGAATGTAACGTTACTATTTATTCTCTCCTCTTTATGCCTATCCCAGAAAAAATGTATTCAAATGTGCTGAAGTTCAGGTGGCATATTTACTCTGAGATGAGTATAAATAAAGTATTTGCTGTTTCAGCAAAGAAAATATGTGCAGTTGGTCAGCAAAGTGTAAACGTTTATCAATTTGATGAGGTGATTTCAAGAAATAGTCTCAGAAGTTGTTAAGGAATTATTTAGCTATCTTTTATACGCTAAGAGAGTGCTGGGAACCACATACTGCAGCCCTGTAGAGGAGTATGGAGCTAACCTTGAAGAAGGAATACAAGAACAATTAGATAAATATCCACTTAGCCCTTGGGAAGAACAGGGGGTGAGAAGGAAATTCAAGATAACCCCATCTTGATTCTATTTAATATAAGAGAGGCAGAGGGAAGTTCTGCCAGACTTTCAAGATTTGGTTATGACACCTAACAATAATGAAATAGAGTTCCAGTACTCTTTGTGGTATTTGTTTCCAGGTCTGGCCTACTTCAAAGCGCTGAGAAGCTCTTATGCAAAAGTTGATGAGTTCAGTGAGGCAGATGCTCTGAATCCCTAAAGAGAACTGAAACAGAAACCTTTGCACGTGAACTATTGAATTAGGGACAGAGGTTTCAGTCCAGAAAGGAAACCCATTTAAAGGTCTTCCAGCCTAGCAGGGCCAATGGCAAACCAGGCAGAAAATCCAACTTTTGATGGTCCAGGAACATGCTTCAAACCACACAGCACTAGTGGTACCTCACAGAGCAGCTGCACAGAGCTGAGGTTTCCCAGTTGTAACACTGAAAGTTCCTGATAAAATAGGGCCATCCTGGCTGTAGTCAGACACATTTGTTCAGGACACTTGCTATTATTTAACTCTTGGGTTTTTTCAGTGCAACAGGTGCTGGAATTGCAGAGGCAGAGCAAGTCTGTTACATCCTTGGGATAAAATCTCACTGCACGTTCTTTGGGACTGTGTATGAGAAAGAAATAAAAACAAAGGGGGACAATGTGGACAAGGCAAGACCCTAGAATGAATTTGCAGCTCTTCCTCACCCTATTTTTTGTCCAACATTTACCTGACTTTCTGTTGCTTTTAAAAAAAGAGACAGGAGTAAAATTTATTATAGTAGGTGGACATGCTCTGGTTAGATCTTCCATATCTGGACTTCCATGTGAAACCAGATAAGCTGAAAGCAACATACATCCATGTTGGTTCCAAATCAGGTATGAACTGAAAAGCCCCTTCCCCAGCTGCTGTTGTCAGTAGCATGGATGCCAGGGAGAACATATGATATTGCCACTAATTAAAGCTAAGCATGTTTGAGCCTGGTATGTGCTAAGATGGGAAACAGGACAGGGACTCTACCTGTGTCACTTTGAGTTCTATTATGGAAAAGAAGTGGGATACTAAAGTAAAAAGCAGGATTATTCCACCCTAAAAATGTTGGTTCTAGATCAGATATGCTGGATACCTGCAAAACATGGAAATGTCCTGAAATAGAAGATACACACATGTGCATCCTGCATTGGAATTGTATCCCCTTGGAAGAACCATTTTTCTTCTTCCCTGATCAAGCTCACCCATCCTTTCCACTTTGGAGCTCAGTCCAAATGCCTCCCCTAAATTCAAGTGAACTCTCAGTACAAAATAGGCCTAGGCCTAGATGTTCTTGGCTCCAGTGTTGTGTTGGCTATAGCATCCTGGCACACTTCCTGAGTGTGATGAATTAGCTCTGATAGGTTTTTATCCATTTAATTCAGGTCTGTGCTTAATCTCCTTTCCCATTTGGTCTCCCATGGCCCAAACATCTTAAAATACAAGAACTAGCCTCCCTCTTTATCATCCAGGGTGCCCACCTCCTCTTCCCCACCACAGGCATGGAGGATGCTGAATGAATAAGGTGGTTGCTTGCCAAGCTGAGAGGCACAAAGCAGCTTTTGGGGCTGTCCTTGGCAGCTACTCACTTTCTGTGGAAGGCATGTTGGCATGGCAACACTCCCAGCTCATCTTTCACTTTAAAGTCTTCCAGGCAGACGGCACAAGTCTGCTGCGGAGAAAGAGGGGGAGAAGAGAATGGGCAAACATCACAAAGCAGGAATCATGCATGCTGACCTGTTGTAGATTTCATAGCAAAACTATGGATGATTTTTTGAGGGCAGATCAATGGTTTTGATGGGAAGCAGAGGGGAAAAGCTTAGAATGGGAGGGTATCAAGAGGCAAAAGAAAGTCCACCATTGTTCTGCTGAGTCATTTGCTTCTAATCACTATGCAGTGGATGTAGAACTATTTAGCTCACTGTTTCTTCAACTACAAATGTGTCTTCCACAATCCAGAAACTATCTATGCAATCTAAAAAACATTCTGAGAATGTGGGGTTGTGTAGATCTGGGAGAACATCTGTTGTGGCCAAAACAGTCCTAGAAAATTGTTTTATATCATCATTTGATTATGGGTCTATTTAGTTAGCATTATCTATTCCAGCCTTTCCCAATTTCATGCCTTCTAGATTTATGGGGTCTGCATATCCACGACTTCCAACTAGCCTGGTCATGTTGGTTGGGTATTCTGGACATGGCAGTCCCAGCATGTATAAAGGCTATCAGCTTGGAGGCTAGTGGATTCCAGCACAAAACAATTCTTGAGAGTCTCTGGAAAAGGTCTTTCCCTATCACCTATCATCTCAAAGGTAGATTTGGGTGTACAGATCTAAAGTAATTTGGAGTAGATTGTCCAAGATTTCTGATTTCAACAATGGTAGCAATAATATTAATCTCAACCCTCTCTCCTAAATTATCCTGCTTTTATGGGACATCAGAAGATAATTTCTGTTTGGAAAGGCAATAACAGCCATTCAGTTTTGGAGTTCAGGGGAAAAAAAAAAACCTGGGTTCAGAATTCTGTAAATCTATGGCTGTGTTCACCTAATCTTGTCAGGTGAAGAAGTAGTAGCTGTATTTACACAACACAGCTGATTAGTGTTAACCTTGATTATGCTTTTTGCGACCCAGTGTATTGTATTATCTTATTGGTCAATGTATTGGGAAAGCCTGGAAAATAGGTTAATTCAGTAACCAGATTAAACAGGCTGCACAGACAACCTAGGTTTCTTGCAACAGACTCTCTTTGGTGGGGAGAGCGGATCTCTCGTAAAAGAATGAAACAGCTTCTGTCCGTATAGTCTGCCTGACCCTGAGCTCTCTGGCCTTTTAAACTAGAGATGCCACAGTGACTTTCTGTGAATTCTACACTCAGGTACATTGTCAGATTGGATTTTTTTCTGCAGTGGACTTTGCTTTGTTAGTTGGTATTTGTTAGATCACTATAAAGAATAATAGAATCATACCATTGAAAACGACTTTGGGGTGACTTCTAGTCCAACTCCCTGCCCAGAGCAGGAATTCTCAGACCATCCCCGACAAATGGCTGTCCAACTGTTGTTTCAAACCAGGGTGATGGAACACGCATGGGCCCAGGATGCAGGACCTGCCACTGCTTAATAGCTCCCAATCAGGAAAGTCCTCCTTATATTGAGTTTGGATCTAGCTGCATAAAGCTTCTACCCACTGGTTCTCATCCTAGCCTTGGGCTCTATGGAGAATGAATCCACACCCTCTTCCTATGACAGCCCTTCAAATATTAGAAGACTGGTATCGTATCTCCTCTTAGCTTTGTCTTATTTAGGCTAAACATATCCAGTTCTTTTACCATTCTTCATAGGATTAGGCTTCTAAGCCCCTCACCATCTTTGTTACTCTTCTCTGTACCCTTTCCAGTTCTTCAGCATCCTTTTTGGTATTGTGGCAACCACAACTGGACATAGTATTGCAAGTGTGGTCTGACCAGTGCAGCATAGAGTGGAACCAACATTTCCTGTGATCTTTGGCAGCTGCAACACACTACTGGCACACGCTTAATATGTGATCTGCCAGGGCACTCAGATTGTTCTCACAAATTCTAGTGCTGAGGCAGGTATCATCTATTTTGTACCTGCACATCTAATTTTTCCTACTTAAGTGCAGAACCATACATTTCTTGCTGTTGAACTGCATTTTGCTAGAAAAGGATCACAGTCTACTAAGATCGTTTTGAACAAGGACCCTGTCTTCTGAGGGGTTAACAGTCCTCCCCAGCTTTGGGTCATCTGCACATTTGTTAAGCATCCCCTCTATCTCCTAATCTCATTTATAAAAATAGTGAACAGTGGTAGGCCAGAACAGCATCCTAAGCTACCCCAGGACCTACCTCTCTCCATGTAGACATATATTTGCATAACCACACCTATGTACGCACCAGAAAGAAACGCAAGGATGTCTTGCTTTCATTATTGCTGAGAAATCAGCTCTTTTGATTCATCCGTGGGTTTACTCACCCCATGTAAGTTTAGCTTTCTGGTATCACCTTTCAAAACCACCTGAAGGAAGAAAGGCAGTAGATTAGGATAAGATTAGGGCACTGGTGCTGAACGGCTAAGGCAGTTATATTAATCCTGTTGAACATTGCGAAGACAAACAGCAGCAGCTGCTAAACTGCAAAAATATTGGTTGATGCAGAAACCACAGCACAACCACAGACAGACGTTCTGACTTAGAGAGATCCGGTCCAGACTATAGAATTCTGTGCATTTATCTGCATTAGTAGAGTTTCTCTCTTCTCAAACTTTCCTGCCCTTCCCTAAGCATAGCACATGATTTTGGTCCTTTCCTTGCATTATTTGGAATTTCTGATCTTTGAGCACTCTTTTGCACTATAGCTGGTTGCAGGATAACTGCTCCCCCCCAAAAAAGGATGCATGAGATTTCTTGTTCTAATCTAGCAAGACAATTTTTAGTATTTACCCATTGCTGCCCATTCAAAATCAGTTCGGTAATTCCAGGAGTTGTAATTCCCACCATGTCTGTTAGACACTGGGTTGGGGGAGAGAGGCCATGCTAAAGAGATCCTGACTACGTAGCCTCAGTTTCTAAATGTAGATGTACTCTGGTGAAACTGAAGCCTTTTCTATAAAATATAGTCTGCAAAAGCTTCAAATTGTCTTTGGTTTCCAACACAGGATAGATCAGAAGGCAACTGAATGGCAGTGTTTAGTGCTTCAGGTTAATGTATTAGCACTGATACAGAGTTACAGCAGGATTTACACAACCCAGCTGATTAGTGTTAACCTTGATTATGCTTTTTGCGCCCCAGTGTATTGTATTATCTTATTGGTCAATGTATTGGGAAAGCCTGGAAAATAGGTTAATTCAGTAGCCAGATTAAACAGGCTGCGCAGACAACCTAGGTTTCTTGCAACAGACTCTCTTTGGTGGGGAGAGCGGATCTCTCCTAAAAGAATGAAACAGCTTCTGTCCGTATAGTCTGCCTGACCCTGAGCTCTCTGGCCTTTTAAACTAGAGATGCCAAGGTGTGACTTTCTGTGAATTCTACACTCAGGTACATTGTCAGATTGGAGGTCTTAGAAACTTGGTTTATTCAAGCAGGGTTTCTTGGTTTATTCCAGCAGAGTTCATGTGTTCTTATGTGTCCTGCAAGGGACTGGGCAGTATACTTCTGTATATATGCGACCCCACATCCTCAGGCTGGCATAGATGGCTTCGTGACAATGTGTCTATAGCTGGCCTGGTCTAGGGTAAGCCTAGGTGGGCATGTTTCAGAAACATTCAGTATTCCAGGTACAAACTGCCTGAGGAGGATCAGAGTATTCAGATGTTTTTAAAGACAAATTTGCAGTGGTTTTTGCATTTTACAAACAGAACTCTTAAGATGAGCCTTTCCCTTGAAAGGAAAAGGAAAATGACTTAAATTGCTCATTTACCTCTTTGTATCCAAATCTTTCACTTTGTGCTTGATGCCGAAGTTTGCTGCAGAAGAAAAAGGAACATTTTTAATAAGCGTCAATGCACATCTCCAATTAACCTGATTTATGAGGACAGTTGTTTTTTGAACTCAGTCCCTGTTAAGTCACTAAGATATTACAAAACCTGTTGTTGTTGTTGTTATGCTGTTAGAAATTGAAACAACAGTCTCTCTGGAATTGCTCTAATTTAGGTAGGGGGGGGGTTGCCTTTGAAAAATCTGCTTTATATGCCTTAAGAAGGTACCAGCATTTTCATCTGGCCTGAACTTTTCCTAAGATTGGTGAGAAGTTTTCATTCCAGGCACTGACAATTTTGCCATCTGTCATGGAAAAAGACAGTATTTCCAGTCCCACTCTACCTTCAATAGCTACCTGTCCCCTGATGGCAAATATTGCTGAATGTGTTACAGCTTTCCTATAACAACAACATTAAGATCCATAGTGGGTTTAAACATCCTATTAAACATTTGTATATTTTTAGAAAAGGAAGCTGTGTTCATCAGTTTAGTAATATGCATTAGCAGTCAGCATAGGAAAGAGGATCCCTGATTTATTTTGTCTTTTATTATTATTCCATATGCATTTTACCTTATTTAATCACAATTCTCAGAGTAATTCCCCACTATTAAAATCAGGTTTATAGGCAAATTATACAGAAGTCATTATGATGGATCTTATAAAACACTGGAGGAAGTGTTTTCTGACTACTGCAAATATAATGGATAGATATTCAACAGAAAGTTAAAGTTGTGAGATTCCTTCCTTCCTTCCTTCCTTCCTTCCTTCCTTCCTTCCTTCCGAGATTGATAGAACTCTCTAATTTGGAGGGTAGGGGAAAACTAGATATCAGATTCTCCCTCAAACTTCTCAAACAACTTCTGGGACAGATTGGCTCAAAAGGATAAATAGCAGAGGTCTGGCAAGGGGAGAACTAGAAGGGGCTGTAGCTCATAGGGGTCATGAGTTTCTAGTAGATGTTAAAT